TGAAAATTTGAAAATATATTATGTAAAATCTGCATCTATATTTTCATATTATGCTACTTATTATATATTTTTATTTAAAACTTTTTTGTTAAAAATAATATATAAATATCTTATAATAAATTATAATAAATATATAAATAATATATAAATATCTTTGCACCTCTGAGCCATTGCTTTTTTTTTAACTTGCGCATCATCAATTTCCATCCAAGATTTTCTTTCTCTACACATACTTGTATAATGATCTTTCTCAATATCTATATCATAATGAAATATAGCATTTATTACTTTATATTGCTGTTTAGCTATTAATATTTTAGTTATATTTTTAATTATTTGATATAGTACATAAATTAAATTTCTGTGGTATCTTTATTAATTTATTTTCATTTAATGAAAATATAATTAGACAAATAACAAGTATTTTTTTTGTTGACATTAATTCATTTTTAAATAGTATATTATTTTGTCCATAACATTCACATAATTTGTTATAAACTGATACCAATGTGAATATATATGTATTTAATAAATCATTCAGATTGTACCTTTTTTATTTAAATTTTTAATTAGAAATAGAAATAGAAAGAAATAAATTATTATCAATAGTAACTTTTGTATAACCACAGGATTTGCATCGACTAGTAGAAATAATTTGATGTTGTATTAGATAAGATTAGATTTTTGAGATAATCATATTTTGTACAAAGAGCAATAAGAAATGCATCTCGTTTAATGGAAGCTGAAAAATATTCTCCTATAAAGATTGTCGTATATCATAGGTACTCAAATTATTCATTCCATGTTCATATCGGTGCCCAAATAAATTAAAAATATCTAATCATTTCAAAAATCATTTCAAAAATATCTAATCATCATAATTAAACTTATCATAATTAAATAAATGCTTTCTGATAACATTTATTTGCAATAAACATTGTAAAACGGCATTTGCATAGCAGGAAAACTTACCTATATTTTGAAAACCATGCAAAATCAATATTCGCTATTCGCTAGTAGATCCTATGATCCTGACTTATCGGCCTGATTTATCCGCAGGATCGATATATAATTTTACGATCATTCTGCAGTCTCTCTGCATATTTTCTCTCTTCATGTAACCTCTCCGGATATCTCTGCATCCGTTCCGTAATTTTTCCGCAATTACTTTCTCAATCATTCCGCAACCCTCTCGTAATTTTTCTGCATATCTTCGCAATCTTTCCGCATATCTTTGCAGCTATTCCGCAATCATTCCGCAACTCTTTTGCAACATTTCCGCAACTATTTCATAACCATTCCGCAACTCTTCCACAATTTTTTCGCATATCTTTGCACCTCTTTCACAACTCTTGCGCAACTTTTCCGCAACTATTTCGCAACTCTTCCGCAAACTTTTCGCAACCATTCCGCAACTATTCTATAACTTTTCCACAATCTTTCCGCATACTTTTGCACCTTTTCCGCAACTCTTTCGCAACCTTTCCGCAATCATTCCGTAACCATTCCACAATCATTCTGCAACTTTTTTACAGTTTTCCCACATATCTTTGCACCTCTTCTGCAACTTTTCCGCACCATTTCCGCAACTCTTTCACAATCTTTCCGCATATCTTTTTCATATCTTTGCATCTTTTCCACAACACTTTCGCAACCTTTTCACAACCATTCTGCAACCATTCCGCATCCATTCTGCAATTCTTCCATAATCTTTCCGCGTATCTTTGCATCTCTTTCGCAACACTTCTGCAACCTTTCCACAATCATTCCGCATCCATTCTGCAACTCTTCCACAATCTTTCTGCAACTATATCTTTGCACCTCTTCCGCAACTATTCCGCAATCATTCCATAATTATTCCGCAATCATTCTGCAACTTTTCCATAATTTTTCCGCATATCCTGGCATCTCTTCTACAACTTTTCTTTTAAAATTTATCTGTCGCCATGTTGAAAATTTTTATTTTTAATTATACGGATTTTAAAGTCAGCATTTATATATGTTCATTTAAAACTAAGATTTTGGCATATGTGTGACTTTGAAATTCCAAAAATATTTTTAAGGTCATTTTTCATCTTCTTATTTTTATATTCTATAGACCTAGAGGATCGTAAATAATGCAACTTTAAACTTTAATTTTTAAATTTTTCTTCCGCCATTTTGATAATTTTTATTTTTAATCGTATGAACTTCATATTCAGTATTTATATATATGACGCATAAACATCATATTCCAAAACTGATAATTAGTCAAACGAGTTATGACTAATTATCAAACTCGCCGCGAAATTCAACGATATTGTCGACTATCAATCGGACACATGGAAAAAGACAAAATATGCTATCGCTCGTTCTTTCGTTCTCTATCCTATTTACTCTCGTTGTCTGTATTATAGAAAAAAAAATGTCAAGTATAAAAATGTCGAGACGCACTTTTCGAATATAGAAAGATGGTTAATATTACAAAATGTCTGATATCACTATAAAATTACCTTTTTAAAAAAAGATAAAAAAAGGATGTCAAGTATAGTGGACGCTTGAAAAAAAAAAAGAAACTATTGTTAACCAAGTTAAAAAATAGAATCTAATTGACAATATATATCTTTTATTTTCTTTTTACTCCAACCCATAGTAGTAATAATTTTAATTTAAAAAAATTACGAAATTGCTATATCTAATGCAATTCTAGTTGTGATCAAACTAAAAAATAAAATCTAAGTGCTAGTATCTTTGTATTTATTAAAAAAATCTGCCTATTCTAACTCAAATGGTACTAGTTTTAATTAAAAAACAAAAAATTTGTTTCCACATTGCCAACTCAAATGATATATTATTA